TTCCCTAGAAATGTTGTAACTTCTTTCTATATACAGTGAAAGGGAGGGAAAAACACCCCAGAACATACATGAGTACTAAAAATGAGCATTTTTGAGAGGATAAATATTTAATAAGTATAAAACATCCTCCTTTTTTTGGTAAAAAAAAAGACTTAAAAGGGTTATTTTTAAAAAAAAAAATAATATTGCATTGTTTTATTCCAAATTCATTTCATAAATGTTAGCCATTTGGTTGCTTTTCTTAAAAAGACGATTATTCATCAAACCATTTTGCTACTGTATTGCCACATTCCATACCAAAAATCTTTTTGCAACCTACTTTGATTTTCCTTTTCTTTTTTTTTTTTAACAACAACAACAAAAACCCGGTATGGCTTTCAAGCTTATAAACACACAAATTATGTTGCTGGGGTGTTGATGATGGGGGAGCCATCCTATTGTTGGCTGCTCTGGTGGACGTAAAGGCAGAGCTTTTTGATCTGGAAGAAATTCTTTTGTGATGCAACATGGAGAACGTATTTAATGGGACAATTGGAAACCTTCCTTCCCCCCCAACTACTATTCAAGCCACATTTTTGGATGCAGTTTTCAAGGCACAAAGAACAGTGGGATTCCAGTTCCTGTGGTAAATAAATAGGAATGGAATATTTCTTATTTGTGCCTTTTTTTTTTTCTTAAGCAAAAGACTACGGTCATTCTTAGATGTTTTTCAGAAGGCTACATCTCCTGGCCCTGCTGAAGTCACGAGACATGCATTGGTTTCTGGAGGGCTAGGATATAGCCTTTTAACTTTCAGTTTTGGGCCGATGGATGTTTAAATGCACCACTGCAGGATCAGCCTCGTTGTAACTCAAATTTTAAATGTAATCAGACGGAACTTAAAATTCAAGTCAAGACCGTAACAGCTAGGCTTCTCAATATGCCCTTGTCTTTCTCTGCCTATTGATTGATTATATTCGGGGAAAGATGCTTAAAGGGTTTCCACATGAGAAGTTGATTGGACAGGCCGATTGTAAAAACTCCTACTACGGTTACTCTTACTCTTATGGTAAGCAGAGGCTCAACCTGCAACTATTGAAAAGCACCAGTTTTCTGTAATATCTGCCAGATTGGTCTGGAATCCAGATTGACATCAACCATTCAGGCCTTGCCTACATAAGAGAGTTGTGCTGGTTTTAAAATGAGTCCGTTGTGAAGCTGGATCACGCCCCTTGTGCGGACAGCACTTATGGGTCTGTAGTTTTTTCTTTCGGCATGGAAGAACTCAAGTTTTTCTCTTCATTGCCAACTTCTAGATGCTAAGTTTGATTCTGTTGGCCAACCGTTCCCTGGTTTACTGGACCACCTCCTGCAATGTTAAAGTTGTTGGGTGCTTCGTGTTTTCTTATCAAGTACGCTTACTTTGGAAGTCCAAAAGGGTTCTGTCCACCTTGGGACCTGAATCAGTTTGACTGCATTTCCAATTCACACTCAGCGTTACCAGCACAACTTTCTCATGTTGACAAGCCTTCTGATTTTCTTTGTGTCACAGCTCAAACTAGAAGGAGTCACCATAACCGAGAACCAAGGGATTTGGTAAACAAATTCAGCAGCAAAATGGTTACAATGACGTTTCAGACAAAAAAACAACAATAACAACCCCAGACAGTTATTTTTTCCCCTTCTGCTTTAAGGGTAAAGCTTAGAGAGTAGAAATCCATCTCATTTTTGGCTGGGTTACTGTTTGTTTCTTGGTTCAAGCCTGATGTTCAGACTGAAATTAGTGTTAGCAAGCTCAGCCTGAAAGTAACTGACCAATGTCTTACAACGTGGCTATTGGGATGTCAGAGAAAACGTTAGTCCGATTTGGATGATCAATCTATGCATCAGTATCAACAATTCTCAAAGGCCTTTGTCTCCTCTTATTTTTTCCCCCTTCTTTTTTTTTTTTTTTTTAAGAATTCTTTAAATTCACCCTGCTTTCTTCAGCCCCACTCCAGTGGGAATATCTGACAAATTCCAAGGGATGGTTAGATGGATACAGTCATATTCACCATAACAACAGTGAAACGTGGTTAATAGCACATAGCTGACATTCTGTCCTTGTGCGCAATTAGCACTAAAGAAATGATAGGGTGGGTGGAATGAAACTTTTTTTCTGGGTGTATTTCTCTTGTGAAACCTTTTCTTCTTCTTCTTCTTCTGGGGCATGATTTGTAACTTTAATCTGCCAAAAGTGTTGACAATTGTATTTTGAAAGATTTGGGTGCAAAGAGCTTTAAGCTCGGATGCAGGAAAAACTTTAGGTTTTCATAGCAAATCCCTCTCGTTCTTTTGCTAGCAATGCAATATCCACCTGACTGTTGATTTTTGTACCATGAAGCTAACCGACTGGTTCGTTTTTCTTAGGACAAGACAAGTGCACTCAGCTTGAGCAATGTGGCAGGGGTTTTTTATATACTCGTTGGAGGCCTTGGCCTTGCCATGACGGTGGCCTTGATAGAGTTCTGTTACAAGTCTCGAGACGAGTCCAAACGAATGAAAATCACAAAGAACACACAAAACTTTAAGCCTGCTCCTGCTCCCAATACCCAGAATTATGCAACGTACAGAGAAGGATACAACGTGTACGGAACAGAAAGTGTAAAGATCTAGTGGTATGGCTAAAGGTTGAGTAAGCAAATCCACTGGTTTATGTGTTTGGTGTTCTTTATTGTTGATGTGTTTTGGTGTTTTGTCTTCTCCCTGTAAGGACCCACCTCAATTTTACATCTTAAGAAGGCAGAACTCCTGGAATGTCTCTTCCAACAGGGATCTTTATTAAGAGAAGCTGATTGCAGGCATACTAGACAGGATCTGGGGAATCCTCTCCCACCATTCAATGTTTTAAAGTGTTTCCAAGCAGACCCCAGCCCACAGTTCTTCCGGGCGATTCAATCCGTCAGTCCGGATTCATCCTCTCTTTTCCCACCCCCTTTTCCTCACTGCCGGCAAAGGGGAGTGAGATGAAAGGCGATGGCCACATTGTTATGGTTAGTTCTCTCAATGAGAATCCACAAACGGTCACTTTGTAGTTAACGAAGGAAGTGAGAGTCATAAACCCCCCATGCTTACCCGCCTCCCTTTTCGTAGTATGACAGAATCCAGAATAGAGTAAGAATTGGTTTTTCATCAGAGTAGGTAGATAGAAATGAAATATAATTGGATTCTGACACTCCCTCTTCATCAGGACTAACATTTTAGGATTGAACATCTTGGATGTTGGACACACAACGCAGCTAGAAAGGCACTTTTGGATTCGCAAAGTTGATAGGGTTGATTCTTAAACTATTTGTCAATCAACAATTGGTAGATTCTATCAATGGAAGGGGCTAATTCAAACCTTTCATACATCTTTGGGGCATCCTTGGTGCTTTCTGAGCTTGGTTGTTTCATTGCAGACATTTCATTACCAAACTAGGTAACAATATTAATGCGTAGTTTGGTAATGAAACGCCTGCAAGAAGTTTGGTTTGGTTACCAAGGTCAGAGAACACCAAGGATCCTGCATTTCAGTTCAGAGCTAGAAATATTTTCTTCTATCTATCCATCTCTGTTTCTGGTAGAAGGATTTGCTGTGATAAAGCGCAGTATTTAATATTAAAGTCATATTTTTACATAAATTAAGTATTATCTGGAGATGGGATGGTATCTGTCCTTTTCGTGGCATGATGCCTTTTCCTTAGGAAATGGATATTGGTGATTATTTCTTGAAAACGATGAATCATTTCCCCTCTTGGGAAATATAATTCTGAATGAGCAGGAAAGACTGAGTACTTGATTCAGCTTTGGAGAGCCATACATTAGAGAGAGAATTATGATAAAGACTGAAATTCTGTCCTATTATTTCAACAGAAATGCAGTCCTCTAAAATAGCATCGTCAAATGAACAAGGAATTTTAATGTAATGTCTATTTCACTCAAATTGTGATGTCCACCCATCACCCTGACACACTTATATTGAGCCAAATAAACTCCTTAGTTCATTTGTTGCATTCAAGGAAGTGTCTCTCTCTCACACACACACACCCCACCCAGGATTCGGAAGCTAGCCATTTAAATCCTATATTACAGTAATTTCTTAAATAACATGAACCCGTTGCTCCTTCACAGAGTCCTCAAATCTGGATTTTAAGTCAGCCTCTTATTTTTTTCTCATTAGTTCTGCAGCCATACATTCAATATTGTTGAAAATATTGATCCATCCAGGAGCACACGTATAAAATGCTGCTGCTGATAGTTTCCCCGTTGTTGTTTTTTTAATTTACCTTCTGTATATGATATCCACTTGTATGTATGTATGTGGAGCAGTGGTAAGTACTTTTCAGAGTTCTTTCTCCTGTTGTTTAATGGAAGAGAACGTTTGAGTTCCTGAAGAGAACGGGGCAACGTTCTAAGTCTCCTTGTTATTGTGACAGAACTTATAAAAGCAGATGGCTGACAAAATAAAATAGTCATATCCCTCCTTTCCATAAAGAGGAAGGGTTGAATTCTACTTTCCCTGACCAAAAAAACCAGTTTTGAATCTTGTTTTCTATCAACCAAGTCAGAATGATGGTGATGTCTCCATTATGGTCACTGCTACTACATCTAATACTTTTATGGCAATTTATGGAGGTCCATCGCTTACTCCAAAATCTTAGAGGGGGCAGCCCCAAAAATGAGAAGAGTGGATGCTTAGGCCATGCCATTTAACCAGAGAAAATTAGGGGGAGGAGAAAAAATTTTAGTGGGGTGATCCCCTCCTTCCGCTTATGTTTGTTTCCTGGTCCCTGCATATGACTTTGCTTCTATGGGACACAGTTCAGCCTTTTGTCATCTCGTTACAGATCCTGCATTTATCATGGCTTGCAAAGGGAGGAACAACTGAGATTCCCAGTTACTTCAGTGATCCTGGTCACCTGAGCCAATTTTACTTTCTCCCAGGTGTCGGTTTTGACACAATACTGATGATGGTGCAATGAACTTTTCATAGGATTCTTTTTTTTTGTTTTTCCTTCAGTGCCTTAACAGGAGATTCTTAAGACTTTAGAAACAATGCAAACCATCAAAAAAAAAAATATTTTTTGCTTTGCTTGAAAAAACAAACAAAACACGGCAAGAGACTAGCCCGTTGAGCAGACAATATTCGTAAAGGCAGAGACGGAGAGAGACAGAGAGAAAAGACGTGGAAAGTATTCTTGTAAAAACAAAAGAAGGAAGGAAGGAAGGAAGGAAGAAAGAATAAAAATCAAAACATTCAACAGAAGCCATTCTTTGATACCACTGCACAGAAAACATGGACAATGTTTGGGGGGGGGGAAGGAAGGGTTTTCAAGCCCCCTCTTGCTCTGCTTATTAAAAAGTTAAGCTGTTCCTAATACACCTCAGAATTCCACTGCTTAATCTTCCCGGGATGGTCTGTTCAATGAAATTTGAGATATTGTCATGCTATTTTTCTGCAATTTTATTCTTTCCAGGATTCTCTTTTTACCATCGCTACTGTAGACCTCAGTGTTTTAAGGAAACATTTCATTTCCATTGTTCTATTCTTTGGAGAGAGAGATCAAGTGGGCAGGCAGGTGTCCCAGCCATTTTAGAGATCACCTCCAAGTGCTTTCTTAAATAATAAAATAATAATGATAATCGACAGATCTGGTAGAGCTTTGGGAATAACCAACCCAAATGTTGTTCTCCATGATCTTAGAAATGTACTTATATTTCTTCAGAACAAAACTGATTATCGCTGAATATTGAAATGACAGACCGGAGAGAAACAAGTTGGCCCTCATTGTGCTGTTAGAAACCCTGCTGTCTGTCTCTTTACACCTTTGGATTGTCGTTTAAACAGGTAATTTTAGCACTGCGCTCAGAAGAAGCAGTTGTGTTCATCCTTGTTTTGCAACAAAAGAGAGGAAAAACAAAAGGACAGAGAGGTACTTTAACAGGGACCAGTTTCTGTTGTCTGTTGTAGTTATTCTCAGCTGCTTCCTGCAGCTGCTTACTTTTTCTTTCTTTTTTTTTAAAAAAAAGAAAAAGAAAAAGTCATCTTGAGTTTTATAAAGACTATAATGCATTCCAGAATTCAACACTCAAGATGGTGAGTTGAGCGTTACTGCCTTACAGTTTTTTCAGATGTAACAAGTGTTCAGGATGTGAATCTGTCCAAAATCAACTTAAGTTGGAGGGCTCAATGGTAGGGCTGGAGGATAAAAAAAATAAAAACCAGGTTTAATCACCGATGATTCTAATTAAATAGCTTGCAGGTTTACAGAGTCGGGGATGAAGGTCTTGGGATAATGGGAGGTGAAAAAGCGTAGGCAGAATTGTGCAAAATGAATCAGGCTGGTTTCAAATGGCAAAATGGAGCCACCTCCTTCCATTTGGTCATCCATCCACCAAAAAGGTTAAACCACTGATAAGTTTCAAAAAAGGAGGAAAAAAACAAACGCCTACTAATCACCTCTAATATGAAATGGCAGTGTGTGCGGCAAAATAGCTCGGCAACATTTCATTCCATTAATGACACACTGGATATTAATTACATTTAAAAATGACGATAAGACATAGAGATAGATATATATTTTTTTTCTTCAAAATTAAAAAAAACACAGATGTTTGAAATAAGTCACTGGAAATATATTTGATAGCTTATTCAAAGGAAGAAAAAAAGATCTTTAATGATATATTTGATAGTTCATTATAAGACGAGGGATAGCCTATAGAAATAAAATGGGGGAAATGCTGATTTCATTTTCACAAAAATGTAACATTAAACAACAACGACAAAAAAAAAAGTAACTCAAGAAACATTTCTCCTGTAGAACAAGCTGGCACTCGTGTTTTTTTTTTTTAACAGAGATATTAAGCAAAAACAAACTGCTTTTTCCTGAAACTGTGATATTAAATTTCTGAATGCTATAATATTCCAGCAAAAGGAAATGCAAAATGCTGTGCAAAAACATGTTGTATTTAAGTAAAAAAAAATGACAAAAACAAAAAAAGGGGAAAAAGACATTTTCATAGAAGCTGTATAAAAAGAAATGTATGTTTATCAAATGAAAATAACTTTTTTTCAGAGCGAAGGCTTCATGCTAGTGATAAGTTTGGTCAATGGGTTGTAATTTTTAAAAACGTGCATGTTAATTTAAAAATGGGGAAAACAAGTTATCAATTGCTTAAAAAAAATCTGCTAGTAATTTCAAGCTGTGCAGATGAAGCAGCATTTCAAAGGCATTTTTAAAACTGTTTTGGTTTTCTCTTTCCTCTCATTTGCCTTTTTTTTTGGTCCGAAAAGTAATTTTAGGTTGCTTCTTGATCGGTTGTTAAAAATTGCACTTCACGAACAGAAGAAAAAAAAAAGAAAAAAAACCCCTTGCCAAACAAACTTCTGGCTGACAAGTGTATACTGCATGTGTGAGCATCAATTCCTGAGCCTCATTTGAATGAGGCATTGTACAAAGAGTTTTAATACATTTTGTAAATAAAATTGTAAAGGAAAGATTTTTTTCTTTAAAAAAAAAATCAGAAAAAAACCCAAATACAAAAAAAGCAGCTAATTTCTGCAATTTTTTTTTTAAATTTAAGCAGATATTTGGTTGAATGGCTGTGTGGGGGAAGATTCTTCAACCAATTTTATCCGTGCAAGGATGTGGTTCCTGAGCAAACTGCTTTTAAAAATAATTTCTAAGCCCTAAAATGCATTAGGTGAGTATGTGGGAATGCAGAATAACTAGGGCCGTTTTGATTTGAGAGTGGGTTGCTATGAAAAAAAAATCTAAATTAGTCACGCCTCCAGTAAAAGATGAAATGGGTTCTCCATCGGATACAGAACAGGTCAATCATTCTTTGCTTTCTGCAAAGAGAATTACCTGAGCAAACAGTAGAATTTGCAGAAGCTGAATTCTATTGCAGAAAGCAAGCAGGATCATTTATTAGTATTAGAGTATGGCATTGTTATAGTAGCCACAATGCTATTGCAGAGTAGTAGCCACAATGCTGCTTGCCAAGGTACCCAGTCTTGTTGTAGGACACGCTTGTGCGCTTCCCAAGGTGCACCACAGGAGGGCGTGCTGGCTTTGCACCAGAGAAAAAGACGAGTGGCTCTTCCTGCAGCGTCATCCAAGGCCCCCCCTTCCCGGAGCCTCCTCGCAAGCGGGCACTGCAACTGGGAAGGTTCAGAGTCATCAGGAATCTGACTGCCTGCACAGAGCACCACTCGTCTCCCCATTGAAATAGTACCTATCTATCTACTTTTATAGAACTTGTTTTCAAACTGTTAGGTGGACAGAAGCTGAGGTGAGCGACAGGAGCTCAACCTGCCACACAGTGCTTAGGCTCAAACCGCTGGAGCTGAGACCATCTCCAGTGTCATTAAGTTACTGAGCCATTGTGCCTCTAAGCAAGCAGGAGAAGCATAGGAATTGCATTCAAAGGCAATCAAACACTGATTGTAACTGAGACCTTGCACACCAGTTGTCTCAGAGGTGGTATGTTAAAGATGCTAGCCTAGTATTGTCAGTTATGACTGACTTTGGAAGGTGGATATGTGGGGACCCATGGAGGCAAATTATCCTGGCCCCATAGCTCCCATATGCTGCAGGGTAGGGGATATGGGTATTGAAGTGTATCAAATACCACTTGGTATTTAATACAATCAGATGTATCCTTTTCTCCCCATTCTAGCTTGTCTATTAAAAGAGAATCTTGAGTTATTTCATTGGTGAGCTGGTTCCTCCCTCTGCTATGGGATACAAACTGGTGGTCTCAGGGTGTGTCCGTGGGTTCAAATTGCTTCATGGGGTTATTAGGAAAAAATGCAATCTCGGCCAGCTCAAGCTGAAGAGGAAAAGTAGAAGATCATTTTGACGCGTTATTTTGGAGTTCTCCACCCAGTTCTGGAAATATCAACCTGGAATGCAGAGGAGGAAGGAGATGGGATAGGCAAATACACATGGCGGTCTCAAGCCTCTCAAGAAGGTCCTATTCCTTGCATGACATGGAAGAATCGCTATTTTGTCTGCTATCTCAGGCCTAACATAGCCTACATTAAGCCATGCCTGGCTCTTGTTTGGGCTGTGAATTGGCCAAATCCTCTTCAAGCTGCCTCAAGTTGGGACCATCATCACATACACACCCATTCTACAGAGAACCTTCCCTCTTTCCTTATACAATGCTCTTCTCCTTTTCTCCCATCTTCTTGGCCTGGCAGCATTTCTCTGTTAACATGTTGATGTGAGCTGACTGACTCCTTTGTTCTTCACAAATAGAGAATGACTGAATGACGTCTGGGTAGAGCAATCAAATTGGATGGAAATGTTTCGACTGTCACATATAATTCATCCAGGGAGGAGGTCAAGGCTGCAGGGAATAGGGCAGGATTGTGTGGTGCATCTGGGCTGTTTTCTCCTGGATTTTGAAGATGTTAGGAGAAAGAGAGGAGATTTCTCTCTTTTCTCCTCTTCAATTCTACTGATGCTGTGGTATATTTTGATCCACTGAGTAGCTGTTTCAGGACAATAATAACTTTCCCTTGAGTATTCCAGAAAAACAAGAACAATCCAAGGTATAGTTTGCTTCAGATAAAGTGACTCTAGTGTTAGGATGCAGAATTCACAAAAACATCGGTGTCTTGGGGGGACGAAAGACAAGAGAGGGACCATAATATCATATCTCTTCTTCCTATCATTATTCCCGCGCTATGGCAGGGTCCACTTGTTGGCAAAACCATTTCCATTTGGGTTGATCCAGGATGTCTTCAGGGGCGACGCCCAGGTATTTCATGTCCTTCTTGATGTGATCCATCCACCTTTTCTTGGGTCTGCCACAGAATCGCTGACCATCAAGGTCCAGACACAGGACTGTCCTCACCATAGAGTCTTCTTTACCAGAATGGGACAACGTACCTCAGCCAACTTGCCACAGCCAACTTGCCACAGTCAACTCACCAAAGCCAATTTGCTGCGGCCAACTCGCCAAGGCCAACTTGCCATGGGATAACGCACCATGGCCAACTCACCATAGGACAACTTGCTGCAGGACAACAATTCAACAATTCAAATGAATTATTTTAACTTATTTTAAAAAATATTTTATTTTTCTTTGTCATTCACGTTTTATTTTGTCCGTCCTTTGGCATCCTTTCTTTAATGATTCTGACTATTTTTTCTATATTAGTGTAACTCTTGTCCCGCAGCAAATTGTTCCACAGTGTGTTGGTCCTGCGGTGTGTTGACTGCAGTGAGTTGGCCGCAGCAAGCTGGCGATGGTGAAATAGTTGTGGCGAGTTGGCCGTGCTGAGTTGGATGTGGCGAGTTGTCGTAGACCCTCCTTTACTGTGTACAATGTGTCTGAACCATCTAAGTCAGGGTGTCAAACTCACTACGTCACGTGACGTGTCGTGACGTAGCGCGACTTTTTCCCCATTGCCAGAAATGGGGTGGGCGTGGTTTCGGTGTGATGCATCCGGCCTGCCAGCTGGCAATTTGACACCCCTAATCTAAGTCTTCCTTTCCCACATTTTTGCTATGATTAGCACAACTCCCAGTCGATGCCGGTTGTCATTGTTTCAAAATTTGACCAGGCATTTACCATTGATACGACTGAGGTCCTCCAACCGATGCATTGCTCCATCTGTTGTTGAAGGCATTTTATACCGACTGTCAGGTATTAAATATAAGGCTGCTCTGGAGAACAGATGCCTTTTGCAGCCACTTCACTGAACTAGAGACACTGCTAAGTGAAGACAATCCCTTTGCTTTATCTGCTGTTGGGACATACGGTCCTCTTCCACCTTCAAAACCGTTGACCATCTTCTCCTGTAACCCTGGAAAGGGGCCCGTACAAGGTGCTACCAGCCGGGCCAGCTGGACCAAGGTTTTTTTAAGGAGGTGTTACTCCTCCATCACTCACCCTTTGTCCTGGCTTGTGACAGGCAGAGCCTGGCTTCCCAAATGTTGGGCCCAGGATGGCGGGTTTCCATGACACCATATCTATCATGGTCTCTTGCTTGATCAGGGGGCTGGATAAGAAGACCTCCAAGGTCCCTTTCAGCTTTATTATGATTGATTGATTTCTAGGTGGAGTTGCAAAAACTCTGCCCTGAAGATTGAGGCCTACTTGACAAGATAGAAAAATGTGGGGTAGACAGAACCACCACCAGATGGATCCGTAGCTGGCTGACCGGCCGTACTCAGCGAGTGGTCCTCAATGGAACTGCATCTATATGGAGGGAAGTGTGTAGTGGGGTGCCCCAGGGCTCTGTTCTGGGCCCAGTACTCTTCAACATCTTCATCAACGATTTGGATGAAGGGATAGATGGGGAACTCATCAAATTTGCAGATGACACCAAGCTGGCAGGAATAGCCAACACTCCAGAAGACAGGCTTCAGATACAGAAGGATCTGGACAGACTTGAACACTGGGCACTAACTAACAAAATGAAATTCAATGGTGAAAAAAGCAAGGTTCTACATTTAGGCAAGAAAAACCAAATGCACAAGTACAGCATAGGTGGCACCATGCTCAATAGTAGTAACTGTGAGAGGGACCTCGGAGTCCTAGTAGACAATCACTTAAATATGAGCCAGCAGTGTGCTGCAGCTGCCAAAAAGGCCAACACAGTGCTAGGCTGCATTAACAGAGGGATAGAATCAAGATCACGTGAAGTATTAATACCACTCTTCAATGCCTTGGTAAGGCCACACTTGGAATACTGCATCCAGTTTTGGTCACCACGATGTAAAAAAGATGTTGAGACTCTAGAAAGAGTACAGAGAAGAGCAACAAAGATGATTAGGGGACTGGAGGCTAAAACATATAAGGAACGGTTGCTAGAATTGGGTATGTCTAGTTTAACGAAGAGAAGGACAAGGGGGGACATGATAGCAGTATTCCAATATCTCAGGGGCTGCCATAAAGAAGAGGGAATTAAGCTATTTTCCAAAGCACCTGAAGGCAGGACAAGAAGCAACGGGTGGAAACTAATCAAGGAGAGAAGCAACCTAGAACTAAGGAGAAACTTCCTGACAGTGAGAACAATTAATCAGTGGAACAGCTTGCCTCCAGAAGCAGTAAATGCTCCAACACTGGAAGTTTTTAAGAAGAGACTGGACAGCCATTTGTCCGAAATGGTGTAGGGTTTCCTGCCCGAGCAGGGGGTTGGACTAGATGACCTCCAAGGTCCCTTCCAACTTTACTACTATTACTATTACATAATTTTTTAGAACTATAAACTTTCAGGTGTTCATAAGCAAATCCCGAGTTTTGATGGGGGAAAAAAACAAACTTGGCAGAATAATTTTGCCGCAGATGCTGTGAGGCTCCTAGGTGGGCAGACGGTGATGAGAACAGTTCTCCAAACGTAGACATTCAAATACCCTGCTCCAAGATAAAAACTGAGTAATGTGCATTTTTGACATTTGTCAGCTAGCTACAATCAGCTCTGCACAACAGGATGAGTCTATTTTTGTCTTGACTCTCCCACACAAAATATATGGCATGCA